AAAAAAAGAAAAACTTCTGAGTGTGTAGTAGGGGTGTAGCTACATGGGGAGAATGAGAGAATTGCTCCCTAAATAAGAGGGGCAGAGTTCTTACTTTGGAGGGCAGTGCCCTCGCTTTGCATGCCCCCTCCATACCTATACCTTTGGACTGTGCAGCATTTCGTGTTAATATTTGTCTGGATCTCAGGGGACAAACATAGCCCCTAGACTGGGGTAGGGAACTGTGGTGAGTCTGAGAGCTAGCGTTTTGCCCCTGTAACCCTTGAAAGGTGTACACTGACTACTAAAAATGCCAGATGACCAACCCACCCACCCAGAAGTGGCCTCAACAGGCCCCTGGACAGCAGTGTGCAACTTCAGTTCCATGCCACACCTTCCCAGGCTATAGATACCCTCCTATTTCTTATCGCTGATCAGAGAAGAGGAGCAGATGTGTGTGTGGTCCAGATGAGGAATCTCCACAGGCCATCTCTGACCCACAGACAGGAGCTTCCCCAATCCCAGTCAGCTGTAGGACCACCCTTGGAAGTGTCAGAGAGTAAAGGTCAAGCTCCTTTCTCCAGTTTTTGACCTTTCTCTCCTGGGTGATATAGTTTCTTCTTGCTACGGGGATGAGTCAGAAGAAGCCCGAGTGTCCCAAGGGGGTTGCTGCTCTCCTTCGGCATCTGGAGCAGCAAGATTTTCGGAACATCCTTTTCAAATCCCAGCTGCTGCCGGTGTTGTATGGCAAGAGCTATCTGGACATTGCCAGCATGGAGTGCCGCACAGAGAGAAGTAAGACGGGGAGGAGGAAGGCTATATCTTTGAACTAACATGGCTATATCTTTGAATTCTGTTACTAAAACATTGTACATGCACAAGGGAACCTTTCTGTGCATGTACATTTGATGTGCTGCAGGACTCGCCTTTTGCTGCTTCTACCATGAAAATCCGTTCTTAACTTTGAGGCCTATGCTGACACCCTACAGGGATCCAGTACTTCCTCCGAGAAAAACAAATTTAACCATCTTGGCTTTTGAAAGTAACATATTGATCTTTGAAGGAATATCAAGGGGAAAGTTTCTCTGCAAGTTTGCAAAAGATCTTGTGGTTCATTAGACTTTACTAATAGTTGAAATCATTACAGTAGGATGAGTTGCAGAATAAGCATTGACTTCCTGGTCACTGAATCAGTTTACACATGTGGGAGATGTTGTTATTTTAACTTGATTGGCTTTAGGGGAAACTTCACAGCATACTTTCTAATTTAAATGTATTCATTTGGTGTTATTTTTGTAATTACCAAGGAAAATCTTTTCCCACAGAAACCTGTTTTATACTGATTGATGATACCCAAACCTTTTCCCTCCCCCCCCTTTAAAATTGTCTTGCTCCACCCCTGCTAGGTCTAAATTCAGTCCCTGGTATTTCATGTTATTTAATTAAATTTTGGTCCCACCTTTCTCTCAATACTGGGACCCAAAGCAGCTCAGAACATGTTTGAACAACAGAAACAGCCAAAAAGGCAAGCATGTAAAGACGGTAAGGGCTGCCAGGCACTGTTAGGCTTCTTAGTGTTGGCTTCTTGGTTTGCAGATGGTTTGGTCATCAGCACTCCATCTCCCGTTTTGGAGGGGACCACCAGGCAAAGAAAAAGGATTGCCGTCCAGCTGGTTGTGAAGCATCCACCCCACAGACTGCCCTTGTACAGAGAGGTCCTCATGGTGCCCCAAGGTTCCTCCCTGCTAGATGTGCTGAAAATGGCAGCAAAGGAGGTCTCGGAGCCTCTCGTGTGAGTCCATCCTGGCTTCTCTGGCTGGCGGTAATGGGACCTGGCCTTGAGAAGGAAGGTCAAGAGGGGAGGGACTAAGAGTGCAATCCTAGCTGTGTCTCCTCAGAAGCCAGTTCTGAGAACCTGAATCCTGCTGCTCCCATCAGCCCTTGCCAGCCTAGTCAGTGGCCAGAGTAAGCAACTGAGATAGATTTGGGTTCTATTTTCTACCCCTACGAAATCTGAGAGCCACACAGACTGCAATCCCCTTTTTGGCTGGCTCTGGCTCTGGCTCTTAAATGGAGTTGGGTCTTGCGGCCTATAAAAAAAAAATGAATTGCTTTTCCTGGAGGCTTCAGGAAGGGGTAGCTGTGGCCTGTAAGTCCCTTATTGTATGTCGAGGAACGCTGAAATGTTTTGCAAATGTTGTGGGGTATCGCTGTTTCTGTTTCAGTTTTGTGTCCATTGTCTGCAAGAGACTAATACAGCTATTTTGAAAACTACCACAATGGATGAGGTGTGAGATTTCTCTCTTGTCCAGCTTTCTTTGCCTGTTTCCAGGCAGAACTCTCCAAAGAAAGACTTGGGTACCCATTCTGCTCTATCCCCATTAGTGATATAGCCACTTAAATCACTTACACTTTAATTGCCATGGCTCCATCCTTTGGGATCCTAGGATTTGTAGTTGCCAAGGCGTTGGAGCTCTTTGACTGAGAATTCTAAATGTCACTCCATAAACTGTTAATCCCAGGATTCCATAGGATGGAACCATGGCAGTTAAAGTGGAAATATAACACTATAATTCTGGAGTTTGAAAGGCTCCAGGACTTTGGCTTTCAAAACTTGGATGAGCACTCATTGCTCTGCCCTTAATGGATTCTCTTTACCCTTTTGCCACAAATAGATTTGAAACCCAGGATACCTTCTCTGGCCCGCTACTTACTGCCATGATGGGGGTGAAACCTCAGGAAGGAGAGCGCAAGTACTGGAAGATTGTTCGGGCCCCTAGCACTGTCCTGGAGCAAGGTAAGTGTTGGAGGAGCAGCGCTGAGGAGAGCTTATGTTCTGAGGTTTCTTGGGGTTTCTTTTTTCCCCAACCCTGGGGTGCTGCTAACATTACCATGCCATGGCGGGAGCTTTGTAGCTTCCTGAATGGAGAAGTGGCCTAACAATATGAAACTAAATGAATCAGAACTCCTGACCCACTTAAAATCTAGCTCAGCCCCATTCTCATGGCATCTGTGCTCCCTTGCAAGCCTGGCGTTGGGTCCTTAGGGGCTAGAAACACGTTTTTTCCTTTTTGGGTGGGAACCTGGCTTTTCATGACAGTGAGTACTGGGCAGTGTCCTACATTTCTGTGCATGTGTGTGCCGTAGCAGAGCAGCTGGGGCACACTATGAAACTGAGGAAGTGGAATTCTCCCGGCAGCTTCTCCTACTCCATCCCTCCTGCTGCCCTTCAATGGGATTGCACCAAGTGTTTGAATGGAGCAGTTGCTCTTCCTTGACAGCCTTCCATTTTGCTCTTCTGTTTTGCAGGGATCGCTGACTACATCCCCAAGCATAAAGACACTATCATCTTCAGATTTAGTCCTTGGTAGAGACTCAGTCGGCAGTGCCCTCTCTTCACCGACTGCAGGAAGATGCTGGAGAGCTGCCAAACGTCTGTCTCTCAAGTGACTTTCTCTCTCTCAATGCGGACTGGGACCTTGATCTTTGAAAATAAAAGCAGAGCTCTTTCCTTCAGGGCACAAAGAGGAGTTGTTTTCTCAAAGAAGGCATTTCCTCCCTCCTGTGAACTCTCAGCTCTAATCAAACTGGTGGCTTGAACTAGGCTCAAAGTGAAAGGCTGCAGCCCCTGGCAAGGGAGACAGACCTACTGACCAATTTTGTGAATGAGGACTGTTTCAAGACACCTTCCAATCCTAGCCGAGGCCACCTGCAGAATTTGGATGGGACCTTCTTGCCTGCCTCACAGGGCTGCATGTGACATTGGGCTGTGTCTCCTTGGGTGTTGAAAGACACCCTGGGGCCTGCCTTCTAAACACATGCCAGTTCTTGGGTGTCTCAAAAACCATGCCATTCAAAGAGACCCTGTGGGCTGTGTATACACTTGGGGGATAAGCCCACAGCATCACACCTGCACAAATACAGTTATGAGCTGCTGGCTGTGAGATTTGATAACCTATCCATTAAGAGTGATTTCTTTTCCCTCTGCTTTTCAAAGACAATCAACATCCTGCAGAGCGTTCCAGTGTATGAGTTCCTATATTTGGTCCATTTCTTCAGCACGTAACATGCAGTGGGGAAAATTAGGACAAGATGAAGTGATGGTTTTACCTCCTGAAGGCCAGGGTCAAAAGGCAGGTGGTCTCCTGATTCTTCCATGGTATTTTCATTGGGCTGAACATAACATAATCGTGGGAGGATTAGAGTTGGAAAATACAGTTAAAAATTGATAAATATTAAGATGGTATAGGAGAAAGTTGGATGTCTTTTTCTGTATGCAGAATAAGACTGGCTGACCATTAGGTCACACAGTCACACTACAGGTTGCAGTCACAAGACTTGGGTCAAAAAGTTGGCTATATTCCCCCCAAAGGCCTTGTCTTGCCTAGAAAAATCAGTGTGAGCAAATTTCAGCAGGGCAAGCTGCCATTTAAGGCACAGGAGCATTCTAGGCTTCCCCCACGTCAGTTGGCAACCTTCGACTGGCCTTGGAAAAGGGAAGGGATGGATGGGGAATGCTGGGGGTGAGCAGACTGGAGGGCATGGTGCCAAGGCAGGAACAGCCCTGGCAGGAGGCAAAGGGAGGCGGTTGCCACCCAGCGGATGGGAGGATGGGGCATTGCAAGGTTTTTCCTTTCTGGGTTTGGGGTTTTAGGAAGCGGAGGAGGGTGAGTCATGCAGAATGACACATTTATGACTGTTTTATTCCTATAGCAATGAGGAATTCCACTGAGCCATTGTGGTGGCATGGTTTGAGTGCCGGATGAGGACTCTGGAGAGCAGGGTTTCTATCCTTGCTCAGCCACAGAAACCCACTGGATGGCCTATGGCAAGTTGCACTCTCTCAGCCTCAGAGCAACCCCCCTCAGATGAGCAAATCTTGCCAAGAAACTGGAAATGACTGGAGTGCACACACTGCACAAAATATAATAATGACCATATATGATATTAATATTACAGTAGTGCTGCATTATATAGTGTCTGAGCACTATTATTAAAAGAAGATAGTGGCATGGGCTTTAGGCCAGCGTGGTCTAGTGGTTTGAGTGCTGGACTATGACTCTGGAGACCAGGGTTCAACTCCCTGCCGGGCCACGAAACCCAAGCAAGTCACACTCTCTCAACTTCAGAGGATGGCAATGGCCAAAACCTGGAGAAATCTTGCCAAGAAAACCCCAGGGTAGGTTTGCCCTAAGTCAGAAACGACTGGAAGGCACGCAGCAGCAGCAGCAGCAGCAACAGCAGAGTTCTGGTGCCCCCACCACTCCAGTTCCCAGAATTCCCTAGCAGGGAGCCGTGGCGTCCTCCCGCCGCGGAGGGCCTGGCCAGGGCTTCCCTGGGCTTCTGGGCTAGGAACGGGAGGGCCTCAGCCCCTGGCCAGCGGAGGAAGGAGGAAGGAAGAGCTTGGTCTCCCAGCCCGGGATCATCCAGGGCTGGCCCTGCTTAGCTACCAAGGCCTCGTGTCTGGGCACTGGGG